ACTACAACAAATTACAACACCACTTATCCATCAATTCTCAAAGCTCCATTGGAGGAGTAGACCCACTTTACATGACTACTGTTATTCCTGATGAAGAATCAGTCCTTCATGAGCCCAACGAGTCCACCCTCTTCCAAGCCAAGGGATTAGTCGTTCTACTCTTCCTTCACCCAACGTGGGCTCAAGCACCAGAATCCCTGTCTCAATGCTCGTGTCCTCAGGACCTGACACTACCCCTCATAATGGTTGTTATCCAGTTGAGGGAGCACAGGATGAATCTTTTTACTCTCCATACATAATCACAGGTCTCTTGTCAGGATCACGGGTACCTATAGACGGGTTCCTCAAGAGTCGTACGCAGAAGTCATACTCCACCTACCCGTTCCCGTACTCCACCTATCCGTTCCCGTCCCCGTCTCTCAATTCCCGTTACGGTGTCCTCCGTTCTCCTGTCCTACCTAATCGTTACTTCATTACCATGCTATATTTTTCCTTCATCTCCGTGTCCCTCATGTATCTCCGCCTTCTTTTGTTCACACACCCCATTTCGCTTTCCACATAACTCCGGGGAAAGGGTATCAAAAAGCTCAAAAACCCCCCCCCCCCCCCCCCCCCCCCCCACCCTCTTTGCATCTTTGCAGTTTTCCCAGATACATACATGTCAACATCTCTTTTACCCTATACCAAATCTCGTACTCTTACTCTGTTGTCCTCTATATGAAACCCATCTCTCAACTCGGGATGATAATCGTCAAGTCATGCCATCCCCATCCCCATCCCCATCCCCATCCCTCTCTCCATACCTAGACGATGACACCATGATCGATAACTCGACAGAACCGAATGAGGTTTAGTTTGATAGGGAAGGAATCAACCTTTGTCCCAGAATAATCATAATCATAATCATAATCCTAATTCAACTTGGCCTGGTCGGAAACCCACCTGATATAAGACTCGGTCCATACGGATAAATAACCTCTGTACGGTTCCCAGTTGAATATCAGACAGACCTGATGGATGGATAACCTCTGTATGCTACCCAATGTCCAATATTCAATCTCCATATCAGACAAACCTGATGAACGCAACGTCATGAGGAGAAAGAGAAAAGGAAAAATCCAAAAACGAATGAGAGCTGATGTGGGAAAACAGAATGACATGGAACAGTTTTGTATAAATTGGGCAAATGAAAGTTTACAACGATTGGTATGTTTTTTTTTATTTTCTTTCTTCGTTTTGGTTTTGGTTCGTTTTCGTTTTCGTTTTGGTCTTGTTCCGTGGATGGACTGGAATCATTTTCGTTCCGTTTCGGTCTATGTCTTGCCCCCGTGGATAGAATCGAATAGCTGATATATTCATTAGTATGATGAAATGACTTTTACGGTTCGTTTCTTTTTCTTTTTCTTCTTTTTACTTTTCACTCTTCTCTCTCCCAATCATCATCGCAACATAACTCATTCCATTAACAAAACTCACTCTTACTTGATTTCATAAGTCACTCAACTCTACATCCACTCATTTAGCTAACCACTTAAGAACCTATACGACCGTCTCTCTTCCGAAGGAGTTACCACACCAAATCGACCGTTCATCTCTCCTTCCTCTCGCGTTCTTTCCGTCCTTCAAGGTCGGCCTCAATCCCTTGGTGGAGAGAATCAAAATCAATCACGAGGTGAAAATCAGAATCAATACCTTGATCAAGGTATCAAAACATCAGGTGAAAGGCAGAACCAAAATCAATCAGATTATTCCCTCCTTTCGTCTAAATCCCAAACCCAAACCCAAACTCGTTCTTATTCTAGAGGAATAATCCAAGCTATCAATGACGCTTCGAAGACGTTACCTTCCCCTGAATCAATCCTTCGTCTTTCAAAAGATTTACAATTCATATCATCATCATCATCAACAACAACAACAACATCAACCCACAACAAAGGCTCTTTTCCCATTCCGACAGTACATAACGGTGCTCCCCCCGTTTTGATCGTAGATAAAGATCCATCCACCTTTCAATTCACATTAAATCATTACGCTTCTCCGGTGGTATATGATTATAAAGATTGGATAAGGAAAAATCGTAATCTTGGTATACCTTTTGATTTGGAAAATGCTTTGAATCAAAGTTTCACCCCGAACGATCAAAGTCAAAGTCACAATGATCATGTCAATTCCAACTTCAACTCGACCAATATCTCTAATCGCCATCCAACGAAAACAAAAACACTTTGTTCCATTTACGCGACGGATATCAATAACATCATCAACCTTATACATGATGCGGGTGATGGTAATGTTCAGTTTGTAAGATGTATAAAACCTACGAGATTCATTGGGAAAAATTCACGAGGGACCAAGATCATGGATCAAGTGGAAAGGGAAAGGGAAAGGGAAATGGAAAAACCGATTCATTCTTCGGGAAACACCCAACGTTCCGATTCACCTTTGGGTCCTTTTTGGGATGAAAATTATATCCAACAACAATTAAACGCATACGGACTCTTGTCCACATTGAGATTGATCAGAGATTCGTGGACCCAACATGTGGATATAGAACAACTTGAGAAAGATTTAGAAAGTGAGGATTTGGCAGAGACGCTGAGAGGTTTGGATCCGGGTGGGGAAGAGTATAGGATGGGAAGGAATAGGGTCTTTTTGAAATTGGGGTTTAAAAAGGTTTTGGATGAGGCGATCGAGATGAAAAGGGTCGAGAAAGAGAAGGAAAGGGAGTTGGAGAAGGAAAGGGTCGGAAAGGAAAGGGAAATGGAGAAGGAAAAGGAAAAGGAAAAGGAAAAGGAAAAGGAAAAGGAAAAGGGTTCAGAAGAGATGAAATTAAAACGAATGGAAATTTCCCCTCCACCTTTCCAGAGAGCAGAAGAACATGTCTATGGAAACGAAATACATTCAATTCAATACGAATCCTCCTCGTCCTCCTCCTCCGACGAAGACCAAGTCCGACTTGGGTTCGATGTAATACAAAACAACTCCTATTCATCTTGTTCTTCTCCTTCCGAAGATGATACTTTCAATGTTCAATTTCAACCTGGAAATGATAATACATACATTACCCCACACTCATACCCAGACAGTGACGATGACACGGATGACGAAAACGATAACGATAACGAAAAAGATATCACAATTTTATCACCACCGGATGTTGAAGAAACCACAAATTTTTCACTCCAACTACATCGACCCAATGACCATGAAACCTTCCTCGAATCTCCCATGGATGCCACGACAAAAATGAGAATCTCTTTCAAGGTGTTATCTCGTTTGATAACGTTCACACCTGCCAAGAAAGACGTTTGGAGGGGTTTCGTACCGTACAGGATCGTTTTTAAATTATGTCAGCGTTGGGTAGACGATTATTCCGACTACGATTCCGATCCATTGAAAAACCCAATCATTCAAGAAGGTCTCAAAGATGTTTTGAGAGCATGTTCTGATCGATTGTCCGACTTTCATTTTCACAAACATGATCAGACTTACGCCCTTGTTGATGATGGATGGTTGGAAGATATTGATGAGTTGACTTTACAATTGGGTTTTTTCGAATCCATCTGGCAAATTAGATGTTTGATTCTTGATGAAGAATTGGACGGGGTGTGGATGTTTGGTTCGGGTTCAGGTTCAGGTTCAGGTTTAGGTTTAGGTTCGGATAGAGAAAATGTGGATAGTATAAAAGGAAAAACATTATCAACCTATATCCCTTTGATCGAAAAAATGAAGAAAAAACAAAATATCGTCAAAGACTATCACAACGAAGAAGTTGAAAACCAATCTTCATCTGAACTCGTCCTCTTCCCCATCATACAAACTTCAGGATTCATCATCATCTTTACATCCATCATGCTCTATTCAACATCAAAATTTCAAACCTTTGTCCGTTCCCTGGAGACGGATTTCAGATCGGGCAGATCCGTGTCAAGGGACCAATTTGGGAAATGTTTATGGAATCATTTGGAAAGTGTCAGAGGTTTGGTTAGAACTTTTCATCCTTTTAGGAAAGGTACCGTTACCTTTTCGGCTTCTCGAGTTGGCATGGGATCTTCCGTTCGAGTTGGCACGGGATTCTCCGTTTTGGATTCTCGATATGGAGCCGGCAAGGGATTTTCGAGTGAGAAAGAGGAAGATCTCGTTGATCTTGGTCCTGGTCTCGATAAAACATCAATGTCGGGAGATGGAGGAGAACAAAATTTGATTGGGATAGTCGAACAGATTATTTATATTGGATTAATCATCGATTTAGCTGTCTTACTCGAAAGACCCAAAGTCGTCTTGTTGGATTATACCAGTGAGTTTTTTTCTTCTTCGGGATGTTTGCTTCACTCTTTTTCTATGTTTCCTCTTTCCATTCTATGTTTTCTTCTCATCTATTTGATCATTCTAATTTTCATCTATTTGATCATCCTGATTTTCAACCCATCGGTTTTACATTTTCATCGTATTGTCCACTTTCCATCTCATGTTCCTGTTCATCCATCCATCATCCATCTTTGATAAATTCCTCATTTTGTATATTCCCCTCTGGATGATATCAAAGTTCTGAGTTTTTCCCTCATTTGTCAGTCATACTTTGTATTGAGCTCGGTTCCACTTTCCTCGGATCGGTAGAGTCAGTGTCAGGGGTCATCTTGTTCTTTGGATTGAATGTTGTTCTTTCTTTCTTTCTTTCTCGATCACTATGTTTCTGCTTATTCTTTTTCGATCACTATGTTTCTGCTTACTCTTTCTCCATTTCTATGATGTTTCTTGTTCTTTCTCGATTCCTATAATGTTTCTCATCTCCACCTTGTACTCTTATTCCTTCTCGATTACTGTAATGTTTCCTCTCTCTCCACCTGGTACTCTAATGATTCGTACCTGTACTCTCATGATTGACCACGACAATCCTTGTCACTTCTGTCCACAATTCGCTAGTTCTTCCTTGGTCACCCACCTCACGACCGGTATACTCTTTCTCTATCTCCAATCCGCCGAAGGGGTTTTCTTTTTTTCATATAACTTCCCACACCCTAAACCTGGACCAGTCCGGGTGATCTCATTTATACCCTTGGTCCCCTTAGGATACACCGTTCAAATGTTCGAACATGTCTTGTTGTACCCTTCGTCCTCACACGATACATCTACCATCGACATGTCTTGTTTCGTTATCCGCGGTCAACATGTTTGGGTTGTTTTCTTTCCCAATGATTCGAATTGGAATTTCCAGTCGCTTTGTTTCCTCCTAGCTAGGATTTCGTTGCTGTTTTTTTCCCCCTCACATCATTAATTTCAACCATTCCGAACGACATTTTGATTCACTGTTACATCCTCGCTCGTTGTACATCTTCCCTCGGAGTTATCTCTTTCCCTAATCCTATGTATTTCCCTGAGTTGTATTCTCCTCACTCCTCACTCCCGATGACATGAACGTTTGTACCTATTTTTTATCCGAGATGGAGATGAGATGGGTAAAATGGAACATGATATAAAACCTCACATCTTCCCTAAGTCTCACATAGATGAAACAGCTCATGTTCGCTATCATCGACTCCCTCACTCTCCGACGAATGATGAAATGATCAGATTCCTCTATCGAATGTTGAACAGTTCTATCGTTTACAGCCGAGGTGGAGAATCTCTCAGTCTTCCTTTGTTCTCTATGGATTATGGATGATGGATGAACAAGAATATACCCATCATTCCTGTGACTGCATGGGACGAACGAAAATTATCCACTAACTCTCTTTCGATGAAATGATCATTATACAACCTCTCATCTTTCCCCTAACTAGAAATCTTTATCGTACGATACGGTCAACGTGAAATAACGTTTCCCATTATCCCTCCCCGGAGGGAAGAGGGAAGAAAATCCTACGTTTGTGCCCAAAGTTTTTGACTAACAATAATAGATGACCAAATCCGTCGATTCGTTTCTTCTCCCAGAGGACATCCAAGTGAGTGAAAAAACAATTCAACCCCTTTGTTTTTCCCTCATCTTATATGACTTGATCAAAGAGTGTTGGATAAACAAAACGTATTCCCGTATTCCCTATCCCGAAAAAATCAATTAATTCTCTTTTGGTGTTTTCCCATCTCTCTTCTCCCTCCCTTCCCAACTCTTTTCTTCCTCCCTTTTCAACTCTTTTCTCCTTTCAGAACGGACCCGACCTGACCGTTTGTTGTCTCCTTTTCTCCTTTCCCCTTCTGGGCATGGAACCCTCTGTCATCCCCCATTCTTCCGACAAAACAATCCCTTCGTTCTAGCTTCTAGACGTTCAATCTAAGAACAATCTCCAAATCCGATTTATATCTATCCCCCATGTGCGAGGGGGAGATTATATGCTTTCCCCTTTTCTCTCTCTTCTTGGTTCGAACTCATTACACCCCCCGTCCCCGGGACAAACGGAAAACGGACAAGTGAAAGATGAAGACGTTTTTTCAATTTCCATCATGCTTGATTCGATATCCATCAGAACGGAAACACCCGATGTGACCCCTACCCCTGAAACCATCTCCCATCGTCCGAGTGAGAGAGAAAAGATATTATAAAGATACGTTGGGCTGAAAGAAATCATAAAGATAGCTTGTGCTGACGACGAAACCAACAGAAGTATGGCTCAAAACCCGACTTTCCAAAATCCCTCCTCACCTCGTCAATTTGTGCGATTGGATATTGTCTACCGAATTGAAAAGTTTGAAAACGACAGAGGAATTACATCGACTTGTTTTATCTTACGCATCAAGTTTATCTTTTTCCTCTCCTCCGACTTTATCTTCATCATCATCATCATCTTCTACACCTACACCGATAATCGGGTTATGGAAAATGATGGAATCGTTTTTCGATCTTCATCCTTACCCCTTATTCTTTCCTCTGTTGAACCAACATACATTTGATAAATACGAATATATTCGACATGTCTCGGAAACCAACAGGACGATTGATACTTTTTGGTTTGACAAAGAATCCATCTCTGGCTCAGGGGTCATCTCCAGGTTACCCATCGATCGGATGGATCCTTCATCCTCATCGGCTTTACCACGGGTTCAAGCTATCACGGGTAAAAAGGCATTAGCATTTTGGGGAGGACAAGGTGATGGGGAGATGGAATGGGAGGTTTTCAATCAGATTCTAATGTAGAAAGAAATGGGTCCAACGAATCGTGGTTCACATGTGAGGAATATGTTAATACGACAGTGTATCAGATTCAGTATCAGTGCAAGGATTGAATCATACCTCTTTTGTCTATACGTATATATCCCATGTGATTCTTTGTTTATACATAAACACTACTCCTCTTTCGTCCACCGGCATGGCCCCGCTGACAGCATACACAGGTCGAATTCCTACTGCAAGCACGTCACGCCGGGTCGAGCTTATTACTCACTCACCTTCGTCTTTATACAAGTACTTGAGCAGGGAGTACTATGAGCAGTCACTCAAAAGTGAGACAACCGGGTGATTGTCAGCGAATCCCTAACTTATGGGGATGGGGAATCACTGACGCGGTCTGCGTCGAGGAGGGTAGATCTACTTGCGGGGACTAAAACGATATGAAGATTCAAGGATATGTTATGGTTCGAGGAACGAAAGTACGAATAACTCGTATGTGAGACAGACAAGATACATAATCCTACGTACGATTCAAATATCCTATTTCTATCAATCTCCCAATTCCTGTCCGGTACAAGAAAGAACAAGAATGCACCTATGAAAGCTACCCAAAGTGTGACAACGTGGTGAACCGATTCAAAGTGTCAAGAACAACCTTTCAATCTCGATGGATCGCACCGCACCACCTCGCTTTCCCGTCCAATGCTCCCCGGGGTCGAACAGGAGAAGGAGAAGAAGCAGTTGGGGTTCAAAATTGATGACGGCGTTACCAGAGCAACTAACTGTCCTCGCACCTCGACATGTCAACGATCTTTCTTGTCAAAGCTATACACACTGGGGATAAAATTGGGTTCAGACGTTTTTGTGGATTGACAATGAACATGACCCACCTTTACATCTCGTTTCTTTCTTTACTTAACACGAGTTGAGTTGAGACGCCTTGAAGCGGAGATAGATACATCGGAGATATCTCAAGACTGAGAGCGACTTTTTCACCAAAATGATGTCGCACAGCGGAAACGATACCACGAAGGGTGTGTGGACCTTGGAGAAGATGGGTGATGAACTGTTGTAGTACTTCAGGAGATCGACTAGCCTGACGAATGAAAAGAATAATCAAGAAGAGGGACAGGTTCATGATTATGAGGATTATCGATGGTATAGGGGATCCAGAGGGGTTTCGCGATCAGCCTCCCGAGCGATCTTCTTCTTCTTCGCCAGACTATGAGGGAAAGGACAATTGGTTTCTTTTTCGCTTTCTAACATCTTCAAAGTCATTGGATCGATGTGACCGACCATCCCCCCCCCCCCCGCCCCCATGAACACATTGAAGTTCAAGCCTCCCGTTGTCTTTTGTACTGCGTTTGGTGACGATGCAGACAGTATGTCCCATGGCTAACCTGTTGGGTATGAAGTCGAGCAGCTTTCATGCTAGGTTGAGGTTCGAGGTCGATGGAAGCGGGGGGGGGGGGGATGTGGTGAGAGCCACAGGATCAAATCCTGGTTCTTCGCGAGCGTCGAGATCGAGGGTGTCCAGAAGATCATCGTTATCGTCACTGTCACGATGTCGCAGAGTCTCGGGGGCAAGAACAAGAGAGAGAGAAAGTCGAGGACTGAGTTTTATAAAAGGGGATCGCGATCCAGGATCGGTGAGGAAGGTGATGATAGTACCAGAATTGGTCATGACATCTAACTCGTCAGAATGAGCACTTCATGCAGTAAAAAATTATACTCGCGCGTAGCCCGAGACCAGCAGAATACATGTCGACAGATAGAACCCGGGGAATCGTGTTGTTGAAGAGGAGAAAAAGTTTTTGGCCGGGATGTTGGTGGCGAGAATGATGATGATGATGACGAGATCCTGTAAAAGTCAGATTTTTCACCTTTTTCCAATAAAAAAGAGTACTCACAGACTCGGAGAGAGAAGCAGAACAGCGTCCAGTAGACGAGAGATTGCCACGATTGCTCTGTAACAAGTTATAGCAATTTGTTGGGGTGATGGACAGGGACGGCGCAGGTTGAGAAGGCGAAGGGGTGAAAGGTCAATGAAACTGGGTCGTAAAAGAGTGAAAAGAGTATCAAAATGATCCTTGAGACAAGTAGGGACCGTGTGTGTGTGAAAGAGCGCGAGTTTCCTGGTACAATGATGATACAGCGATTAGTGGTGGTGAGGACAGGCTGGTAGGTAGCGAGCAGACACGCGTCGTGATGCTGGTCGCGTGGTCGGGGTTTCGGAAACCCCGAGGCCTATGTGTTCCTGCCCACGTGTTGTGGCGAGGAGTGCCCCTATCAGAAAAGGGGTGTGCGCAAAGGGGCTCTCGATAAACTAGAAATCAACCCAAAAGAACATCTCTTACCAAGCAGATATATCATTCAAAGCTATCCTTACTCCTTCCCATGGGTGTCACAAACAAACAAGCCTTTTGGACAGCCTCTGCTGTCAAGCAGGATAGAGATACAGGCACCAATGTGTATCAGGCGTCAGAGCAGAGGTGTTACGACCCTGTTGTAACCCATGTATGTAGATAGTCGTATAGTGTCGTACCATACCGTAGAAGAGCTGGCAGGTCAAGTATAGCAAATGGTCATTGCAGACTGGACTTGCAAACTGTTGATACCAACTGTAGTTACCGTCTGTGACTACCGTATGTAAGAACCGCCTGTAACTACCGTCAGCAACAACCGTCTGTGATTACTGTCTGTGATTACCACCTGCACCTACCATTTGTAGATACCATCTGTAGCTACAGACGGTAACAAACAGTAGGGCTCTAAAAAGTATATAAAACCTTCCGTAGGATCCTTCATCTTAAGGATCGATATATTTTCTTGCCACATACAAGATCTCTACTCACCATCTACTAACCTCTTCTTGTCACCCCTAATCCCTTTGTCACCATCTCAACTTGCCTGATCCTTCCAAGTCATCTTAGTTGTCCGACCAACTTCACAAGTCACGAGCTATACACCAGTCTTCATAGCTCAAGCCTGTAAACTGTTGTAGCCCACCTGTCTCCATTCTTCTCAGAGATCTGGTGGGGACAGGTCATGACAAGAGGACTGTTTGAAAGGCTAGTTCGTTTGAGACACCTGTAACAACAAGTAAAGAATGTATCTTCCTCTTGTCTAACCTACAAAGATTATCCAAGCACTAGTCAGTAGCAGCGCCTTAGTCTCCCAAGAATGTAGAGCCGTTGTGACAGCTGCTACAAACCACATGATCAACATGCTCCGACTTGAAGGTCTAAACAAACCCTCAATAGTGGGACATGATCCAGTCATCATATTCAAATACACAAGCAACTCTACAATGTAAAAATGGTTGATTTCAAACATGAACCCACATTTGTCCTCCCTCCCATTCTTGTTTCCTTCTTCTTGATGTGTTTTTCTGTCACAAGACCAACTAAGCAGCATTGGGATGATATAACAGTGCCCAACGGAACAGTGGTATTAACCACTGCGAAGAAAAGGCATATTAACCGGCGGTTGACATCACCGCCGATCGCTGGTTAAATACCCGTCCCAACAAACTTTGCTTCACGACGTGGATTGTGTACGCGATTGTCACATCTAAATTGCACTTGTCACATCCTTTGTGACATTTTCCCTTGTTCCCCCTTGACCATTATGGATAGGAGAGATACTAAATCTGGGGTATTGTTCTTGATGAGGGAATTGAGGAATACTAAATGTAGCCACTGTCAAGTGCAGAAATTGAGAAATGAGTAACAGATCTGGATGTCTATTGTTTTGGCCTCACTCATGTCAGAATGAGTGTGGAATGTGGAACATGGAATGGGTATGTTAATGATATTCTTCATGAGGAAGGACACAATAGATCACCCCACCACACGTGTATTCTTACTTTCTTACCTCCACAATTGGACATGTTAATTCTTACTTTGCCATTTCAGCATGTCCGTCTCCCATTTGGACTGGTTGTATTTGCAATCCTAACAACTACTTGGACACTCAATTGAACATTCCAACACTTATATCATCATGTATCTCAACAAAGAAGATGGTCAGACAAGCCTAGCCTCACCTCAACTTCACCTCACTACCTCTCTTACCCTGACCTTATTAATATACCAGAACAAACCCATTTGATACCTTACTGTCCAAAGTCTCAGATTACAAGATGCAACATACGATATCAATAGAGATTAGATAGATGTGAGACAAGGGGATATGTGGAACTAGCAATGGCGGCTGATTATGGCCGTTTGATTGCTTTAATCTCAACGGACAAGTCTATCCTTGTAATCATAAATAAAGGAACTGACTGGTGCGATGCAACTCTAACGTGCACAAGGACCGCTTAGATACCTAGAAGGAACAAAGAACTTTTTGTCAGATGTCAAAAGTAGAATGCATAAAGAGTATAATATTGACAGATGTTAGATATGAGACAAGGAGATATGCGGAAATAGCAAAAGTGGCAGTCTGATTGCTCCAATTCCAACACTTTTGCATTTGGGGCACTTCTACACAGAAAATCTGGATTGCAACAGATGTCATTTCCTTTACAAAATCAGATTTTGCTGCAATCACTGATGTTCCCACTGTCTGACTCACACCATGTGACGCTGGCAATCACATGGATATTCACCACAAAAGCCGGCCAGATCTGTCATTTGTTGAACTGAGCATTGCAAAAGCAAAGTCAAAAAACACAACAATCGCAACTGGAGTTGAAAAAATGTGCAATGACACTGAAGCAGATTCACAGCAGAATTCCAGCAGAATGACAATCAGCCAGCGCATACAGACTCTCTTACAGCGACTGAAGGCATAAAAAGCATTCAAAATCACTCACAGTTGGTAGGGAACAGTCAGGGTCAGTCAGACTGGAGGCAACCGGGGCAGTTATCATGAGACTCATTGGAATCTGCTTGGCGCTGCTTCAGTTGCCATTAGCACCAACTAAACAACAAGCCTCAATATCTAATCACTGAATGCATTGGAGAATTGACTGTACATCTAGGCTCAGCGCATGTGTAATACAATCACATGAGAGACAA